TTCCAGGTCGCCTTGAGAGTTTCTTGAACATATACCCAGTCAGTTCTATCAATTTCTTGGACTCCTGGTACCTATTCATCGCCACAGCTACATTAGAAGACAAATAGAAAAACACACTGAAATTGAACGAGTAAACAATCACAAACTTGTCGCGCAGCCCCTTGCCGTACGCAACAAATTCGCGGCTGAACCTAATGGCACACACCCATAAGATAGCAGGGTCCGGTTGCTTAACACATTTCGTGAGATAGACAGACTGTTGGCTCTTGATGTTGGGCAGAAGGTAAGAGGTAGTTTCAGTTTCAGTTCCTTTGGAACCGAGTTTTGTCAACTCACATTCTGTTCGTCTCGACATTCATGCCATATGTAAAGTACAGGATCGATTGGAGTCAATTCACGTGTGGTTCCCGAAACTTGGAACATCCCAAGCTCATTCGTTCGCTGTTCGTCCAAAGTATCGTCCGGATCAACTCCTGAATGAGGACATTTTAATAACAGTAAACCTGCAGTAAGTACATTAGTTAGAAAACTCATTGACAATTACTTTGATGCTTTCCTGTAATACACCGATTCCGAATGCAATGGATTTTCAAGCAATATGTGAGCTGCGATAGCACAGCGGTTCGTGGCCCGCCAAACCTCTCCCATACTGTTACCAACCCCTTTCCGGGCTATCAAACTTTCATCCCCAAATTTCGATGGTTAACATTGGAAATTATGTAATGGAAACGTCGCCTTGCATTCTAGGATGTTGTGCTTCCACTGGATTCAGAATACAAAACCCTTTACCACTTATAATTCCCTATTATAGGATGTGCCCACACATTCGACCTGGGTCAAAACTTTTACGGCGTTTGAATACACATTTGGTGTATGCAGTGTCTTACAAGAATCACCTACTATGCAATTCAATCCCTTTACCCTCCCAGACCATTTTAGTGAATCTGGGGAATAGGCTTGGTTGACCTAAGCAACTACCGATGGAGAGTTAGATTGTTGGACCGTACGTGTAGTAACTTCACCATTTGTCACTATTCCACTTTTATCCTAGTTCTTAGAGACTTACCATAATCGATGTCAACTATTCGAACTTTACTATTGACAGCTGGTTGAGTGCCACACTTCAGAACACCTCGAACTGCTACACCCTGCTTGCGAAATGCATCAGAGAACCCCGAATACAGCAATATACAGAGCAGAAACGTTGGCAATCCTTGCATCTGAAATCAGCTATTCAATGCTCTGAAGGGGAAAACGAATTGAATTGCCTAATGGGGAAAATTTCTGAAGAATACCTATCAATGGAAATTTCGGACGCAAAAGCATTGTTAAACTATCTTAAGGAAAGCGGAGGAAGAATAACATTTCGGCGAAAATCAATCCCGTTTTGGAATGCGCCTGAGACTATACTCCAATTTCATAGTATCAGAATCGTGGTGGAGTTTTGAATGAACAGATGGCTACCATGAAACACCTACCTGTCAAATCTAACCAACATTTGATTTTCAAAAATTCAGAGGAT